ATTCAAACGAAAACTTATCAATGGCTAAGAAATAGAGAGAAGGAATGGAGATTCTCCATGTTTAATTGGATTTTAATCCAAGGGCCTTTGTATGTAGTAATTAATCAAGTAGAGATAACTCTTGTTTGAAGCCTCTATTTTGTGTTTGAATTATTATGGTTACAACCGGGTTTGAGTACCCTTGTACTCAATTAATAGTATTTTGCTTTTCAAAAAAAAAAAAAAAAAGCCATATATATCAGCATGTTTCCCATTGCAACATGTATTTTTGGTCAAAAATCTCTATATGTAAATGTAATTTGGAAATATTTTATATAGTTTAAATTATATCAAATTGTTTAAAATTAACTACTAATGAACAAGAGATTGGGTGAATATATACGTAAAATGTGTGGTCGTTTTCTTTCCATTAATGACTACCATTTCTTTTTGAATCCAACACAATGTAAATGATAAAAAAACACTTTAAAAATATAATATGAGTTAAAGTCTCCTCTGTACTCTCTCAATAAATCATTATTGTTGAACATAAAGAAAGCATCATTCAATTTGCGTGCATCTGCCAAATACAATCTATCTGATTCCAACTATATACCTCAGAAATTAGGTGCGACCAAGGACCCATATGTTACTCTGCACTTTATTTTCTGTCCTTTTTAAGGGATTTTATTAAATGTGAGTTGAAATATGCATGTGTATTGGATTTGGAAGGTTAGACAGCGAGGAAAAGAAACATGGGCTAGTTGACTGACCAAGATGGAAGGTCCGGTGGAGCTCAGGGAAATTATTAATGGCATGTGTATAATTTTTTTTTATATATAATTTTTTCATATTATTAAATGATTAAATGTATATATTACAAGTCTCAATAAAATAAAATAAATTAATTATTAAATAATATATAAAATTGTATAAAAAAATTATTTCTTGATCATTTTCCTCCAAGAAAAGGGAAAAATATACCATTCATAAGCATAAGTACTGCCGATGTAATTATAACCATTTTGCTGCAAATTGCTGACCCAGTTGGAGAACGTAATTGAGGGTGCCCTCTCAAACCTCAACCCACCTTAAACAATGGTGGAAGAAGAGACAAAGAGATGCAATGGAATTTCCATTCAAGCAAGTGACTGCATGTTGTTCAATTGCGAACAGAGACAATCATTAACTATTATATATCAACTATCAACTATCAATAATTTTTTAACTATTAAACCAATCAGAACCTCAATTTGTTTTTGTTGGCACCATCACGACTTGTAGTACTTGATTATCTTTGAGCTAGAAGTACAAGCCCTCCTTTCTACGACAAAAAATCCATCAAGATAGATTACATTATAGCATATAGTGTACACATGAATCGTCAACTTGCTCTAGTACGAAGAAAAAATAACTTTAACAGCTTCCCTTAATCTTAAATTAAAGCTAAGACAATAGGATTCCACTTTTCCCCTTTACATAAAGCATAAATAAAGGTAAAAGATAGAGCTTTTGAAGACAATTTGAACGTGCACCATCCATTCAATTTTTTTCTTCTATCATTACACTTAAAAATTCATTTCTTATTAATTACTTGGATAAGATATCTTATCCAACTTTTCTAGATCCTGCAAGCTCCTCACTGATCAAAAGAATTACTCTTGTCCAACACTCTAGTATTTGAGCTTGTAGCTGATCACTGCCAAATTAATCCAACAATTTAGTTGATAATTAATTCATGTAAGACATACATAATTAAATATATATATATATATATATATATATGGACGTAAATCATGACTATATTTATATAAGACTCAATTAAAACCCAAAAAATTGATATCAATGGCAAAGTGTCATCTGACTTATTATGCTCAAAAAGAGTTTTGTAAGAATCATGACTTGTGAATAAAATCTGATCCTCACATCCTTAAGATTTATAGAAATTATCTAAAAATTATGTTCTTTGCTTGTGTCTTATGTTTTAAGAAATTGATATATCATCTCCAAATCAATATGGTGCAGTCTTTAGATAAACAATGATATGACACAAATATCAATAACGAATTAATGACAGCGAGTCAGCGACCTAAGGTAAGTACTACCTTTTTTCTTTTTCTTTTTTTTTTTTTAAGTTTAGAAAGAAAAGCGTACCCTAGCTCCACCCTAGTATACATATTCGACAAACTTCTCTAGATATTGTAAGACTTTGTATATATTGATACAAATAGGTAGTTACAGTTACTCCTGTCTAGAATCCCAAAACCCCATTTAATTGGGATCAAAATTATTACTTAACATTTGAATCTGACTTTTCCAGTTTAAAAAATTCATTGGTTTTAGGAACCCCTGAGGAACAAACCCAACATAGATGCATATTTTCAGCTGATCATGTTATATTTAATCTCTGAATGTAGCTTCCTTGAAATGGGAATTTTTTTTCCACTTAAAATACAACCCACTATTTTTTTAGATTAATCAAAATACAAGAAGTCGTCTTTTGTGGTTTTAGGTTTCCAAGACAGCACGAGTGTGCATTGTTAGATGTTAGGAACAGCGCTTTTAGTTTCCATGTCTGTGTCTTGCTTTTGGATTCCCGAACAACGCTGTCTTGATTTTAAAATCCCAATTTGTTTACGTTAATTATTTATTACTATTACCGTGTTTACGAGAAAAGATGAAGGGCTTTTGTTATTGTTTTTAAAGTATTTATGATATAAAAAAGCATCAGTATGATTTAAATTATATTAAATTAA